AGGGAGCAGGGAGCATCTGAGATTTAGCCCCAGCATGGGAAAAGGAGCGCTGTTAGACAGGTGATATATAAGACTCCCAGTGGTAATTTGGTGACCAAAAAGTGCATATAAAGCACTTAAAAGGTTTTTGCAGTAAATAGTACTATGTTATCATAGGTTCATTTTTATTTGACAAAAGGAAAAAAAAATAAAATGACTGCATTGTACAGTGATGGGCAACAGAACGATCTTCTCTTCATTCAGCAGTCCAAGGTTGCGTGGCAATGATTTCATACTTCAAAGGAACAATGTTTCTTGGTGGAATACTTGTTTATGTTGATTGTTATTGATAATAACTTTAAATAATGTTCTAAAAATTGCATTTTAACATGTTTTATTTTGGCTGCCATTTTATAAAAACAATAAGCCACTCGAGGCCATGCATTACTGTGATTTTATCATGGGGATGGGGGCTTATTGCTTTATTATGCTGGTCTGGTGACCAGCATACCAGCATCCGAAACACAACACACACAGGTTTTGCTAATGAGCAGCCATGCCGGTCTGTGCTGGTTTTTCTAGGAGGGAAGCTTCTTCCGTGCTGACTGAATTCAAGTTATCCACCTGGAAGTGCAGCCAACCATTATGTTGGGATCATATACAAACACTCTAATTTGGTCTATCGTAACATTACTTTCTGCCTTTCAAAGAAGGAATGCTGTCTGAGTATGCAGGAGGTTCAGGTCCAGCTCTGAGGCGGTGTGTGACTGTGGCTCATCCTCCTTAGCCATGAGTGAGTGACACCAGTAGTGCGGAAAAGAGGCAAAAATACCGCAGGGGGATTTTTACCGAGCCATAATAATAACTCAGTCGCAGAGATCTGTGGATGTTAACGTCTGCTACCCGATCCAGGCCACATGAAAAGCAGTAAGAGTGAATGGGGTGTCCCATTTCAAGGCTCTGGACACCATGCAGGTGCTCCAGGTGTGGCAATCCACTGTGTAAATAAACAGACTGCAGGTACTGCAGAGTGTATGGAGGGTCTCTGTTCAAACCCCTGGCCTCTGTGTGGTTTTAGCTATTAAACATAAGGTAGATCACACAGAGAGCTTATATAAAGCCATTAGAAACACAGGAAGAGCGTCAGGGGAATACGGCTCAAGGGCTGTTTATTTGTTGTCAGTCTGATCCCAAAGCTGTGAAACACAGGAGGCGTGTGTGTGTGTGGTTTACAGTACAGGTTCAGACACTCCAGCAGGCTTCATCACCAGGGAGTTTCCAGCTTCAGTCACTGCCTTCTATGTTGGAGAGGAACACATGCTTATGATTGTATTTTCAGTAACAAACTTCATCTTTTTTAATGGAATGTGTTAACTATTCTAGTCTTGGGGTGGAATCTCCCCATGGTTGGAATGAGATCATGACTTAATGTCACACTTTGAAGAGAGAGAGGCTGCCTTGGTCTCAGATTGGGTTACACACACACACACATTACAAAAGGACAAAGGGGTTAGACAGCAGCATCAGCTCTGCTATGTGTCTGAGTGTTTTGGAGGCAAATAGCTTTATGTATGTGTATGTTTGTGTGTGCCATGTGTTTAGGGACTAGGGCAGGGCAATTTGATGCTATTTTATAGATTAACTCAAAGGAAGTGTTCAAATTTACACAATTGTCCACTCACCCCAGATGTAGTCAATCAGACAAGACATGTTTGGTATCCAAACTGCGCTTCTTTAGCTTAAGTCTAGAGCTATGAGGCTAGTAATGCTAACAAACATTTGAAGTGAATAATCACCCAAATCTTTTCTGTAAATTTGACCCCAAACCTTCTCTCAACACACTCAAACTGCAGCCAGCTCGTCATTAAGGCCACACAGACTAGTCAATGTGGTTTAGAGCACAATATGACAGATCTGTAAACTGTGAACATAGATTAATATTTGATGGTTTAACAGCTGCTAAAATGACAAGCCTCTAGAGAGGGCTGCACTCTTTTTGCACAAAGTTTATACTTAAGTTTGTGTGCAAAGTCATTACTGAGACCTTAGTAACAACTAGCCCATGCGTTCATCATTTTAACGTGATGACTTTTTCCATGAAAAAAATATCCAGTATGGAAGTAAACAATGTGTACAAGTTGAACTGAATAAAACTGAATATCTGTAACCTTTGTTGATGTATTCTTTAATTTTTCCTTGTGACAACCAAATAGGCTGCAGTTAAGCAATGGTTTCTGGCTAATCGAGCCGTAAGTAAAATCACAGCATATAGCATTTAGTGTTTTAAGTTTTGGTCTTTTTTGTGTTTTCTGGGTTGTGTCCCCACCTGCTAAGGGGGAGGTTTACTTACTAACAACTAAGCTTAACTTTAAACTAGTTGGTGGTTTTGATGGTTTTAGTAATGCATAAACCTGAACTTAGTAAACATTTATGTTACAACTAGCCTACGTTTGAACTTATGTACGGCTGGTGCAGTCGGCCCCAGGGCTTTGCTTAGATTCTTGCTGGAAACTTGTTTTCAGAAAAAGAGCAAATCTAGAATGTGCAACTGCTCCACTAAAAAAAAAGGCACATCTTAAAACATGAATTAATAATAATTAATATTTATTTATTTATTTATTTGGTAACACTTACTAAGACTATAGATTAAATGAGTTTCTTAATGATCATTAATCTGTATAGTTACTTTTAAGGTCATTCAAATCATTAATAAGATGTTATAACGTAAATATAAAGGGTAACAGGGACCTGTTGCATGCTAAATAGTGAGTCCATCTTGCTGGTTACCCATCTTACTTTGCCCTCCCCATGTCAGCATGAAACTATGGAATAAAATGTGCAATAATTGCTCATTAATGTTTTTAAGTTGCTTATGACCTAATTAACAGCCATCAATAAACTAATTTTTAACCATTCATAAAACCATCTTTTTACTATTTTCACTCCTGTTGCTCTTGAACTTAAGGGTAGTGTTGACTTTGATGTAGATGTAGCAGCATTTTGCTACAGTAATACAGAAGTCAATGGAAATACCACACAAATACAAATTTGTATATGTGTGGTGTGAGAACACACTCCTTAATGAGGGCAACGTGCACACATACATCTCCTAATGAGTCAGAAAGCTCAGATACTGATGATTGCTCGTGTTTGTATGCTGGCACATTATATATACTCTTTACATTTTGCGCTGAGCTCCTTAATCAGCAAAGGGGCTGAATGTTACAGTGAAGACAGAGACAAGGAAGACAAATGGAAAAAAAGGAGAAGAAACAAAACCTCACAGAGCGTGCTTAGATTTAATTGTAATTACACGAGCACTCAGCGCAACTGCATGAATCTAGAGCTCGACCCTTTACAGGAAGATAAACAAAACTTTCAGACTCTGCATTGTTAGTACCAGTAAATATAGATATGAGTAAGACATTTGTGCTTTGACATGCAAGAACAAGCACAGAACCTTTCAGAGGCTGTATCCGTCAGTGAGTGTAGACGTGCCTGTCCCGTGTCCAATGCTAAGCGCGCGGAGGCTCCACTTTTATGCCCAATTAGTGGTGCCACAGGCAGCCTGTGGAATGCTGAGGTAAATAACTTTTGGAGAGCGCAACAGGAGATTGTTATCTGCTGTTCATGTGGTCAGAAAGGAGGTTCCCTCTAAGCAGCAGCCATATTCATCAGCCTCTTTTGCTCTCACTCAGCCAGGAGACAGCTCTGTAATAGCAGTAGAGGTGTAATTTGTACTTTTGTCTCATATTTCGGCTTAGAGTAACAAAACACAGCACACCGGTGTTCGTATTATGCCTCAGGGCAGACATGAGCACCCTGCTTATACATCAGCACGGCCTCCTGCAAAACACCCATCGTGATTATTCCCAACACCATGACAGCTTAGCCGTGTTTTCACAATGGAGCCGCAAAAAGCAGACTCCCCTCAGATAACCTGCCAACATTATATAACCCATGCAGAAAACCATCTGAGCATAATGTGATGTGTCATGACTGAGCATAAAACAATGTGACTGTGGTAGCAGATTGATGAAAGGCAAGCTTCAAAGGTCTCAGCTCTGGTGTTATATCTCCAAAGAGGAAGTCAGTAATCAAAGCTGAGAAGGCAGCACTGTTGTGAATATGTGATGTGCTGATTATCTTCACTACTCATTGGATGGTCCTGTTTTGGTCCTATTTGTCCTAATTTAGAGGTCTTTGCTTTCAAATGCTTTTTAGTTGGAAACATGGCTAACTACTTAGCTATTCTGACCAATTTGGATATATAGTGATGTTTAGCAAATGTTTAATTAGTGACTATTAATACTAACTTGAATTTAGACAAATAAAGCATTTCATACCACTGACGACTAAAACTGTCCTTCCTCCACCAAGACGAGGGAGTAAAGGTTGCAAGCTGGAAACTCCAGTATCAATATTTTTTCTGAAGTTTCTGCAACTTGATTGGCCGTTCACCTGCAGCTTTTAGATCAAGAACTCAACCCAAAAGAAGCCTCAAGGCTTGAGCTAACACTAGTGAAAAATCACTCTGCATGGATCACCCTGCATGGATCATGGATGGTTCAAATCTCAACTGGCTTGTCTGCCATTTTTATAATTTTTTCTTTTACCATTTTATCAGAAGATGCTGTTTTGGCATATTTTAAAAGGACAAATCATACCAGTCAATATGTACTCCAGGGGTGACCAATCCTGGTCCTGGAGATCTACCACCCTGCGAAGTTTAGCTCCAGCCCTAATCAAACACACCTGATCCAGGTAATGAAGGCCTTCAGAGGCATCTGAATATAAATGCCAGGTGTGTTGGATCCGAACTCTCAAGGGTGGTAGATCTACAGGACCAAGATTGGGCACCCCTGGTGTTCTCAAGGTGTACTATGTGTACTCAGTGTTCTCACACCAGTGTGCGCAATGTGGATCTCCTTTGTAAATAGTGTAAAGGTTGGCAGGTCTAGGAACTCAGATAGCATGTGAAAGCAGCATTAATCCAACATACTCTCAATTGGCTTCCACAGAGTTGAGGATGATGGCGGAGGGGAGGTTTGCCAGCCTGCCGAGGAATCTGCACATGGGGCGCCAGTGCCCACTGTCCTCCTCTATGGACTTGCTGAGCTCCAGGCCTGCCGTGGCAGAGTTGCCTCCTCCTGGATACAACAGTGTCTCAATCCATGGCACCCTGCCCCGGAAGAAAAAGGGGAGTGGCAGTGCCCCTGTCAGGCCGTGGGAAATGTGTGGGTCACTGCCGCATCCCAGCCGCTGCCGCCTGCCCTCGTCTCCGCTCATACACAACATTATAGAGGAGCACCAGCCTTTTCATGTGGCCAGAGAGGACTGCACAGTGCACAGGTGAGCTACCCAACACCCACCAGTCAAATACTGTAGCGCTCTTAGTGGTAATCTTATCTGCTGCACGAACATTCACTGTGGTACGTACACTGCACAAGAGGACAGATATGAAAAAAATCTGTGTAGGCCAAATTTCTGCCAGTACAGGACACAGAAACAAAACGTCCTGTGAGGTTTTTAAATCTTACTCTACATCATCAATAATAATATCTGAGCAATATCTGAGGAAAAGCACAACCAGTCTACAAAGACATCTTCAGAAGCAAAAAAATGCTAGATTTTATAGATTAGATGCTCTAACTTTAGGATTAGCAAACTTGGAAGCATCCCTTATTTCAGAGTTTGTAAAAATTCAAAAATATGTAATAGCCTAGCAAGTCTACTTATTTTTTGTATGCAGTACAGGGAGATTCACTCAAAAGAGGCCTGGAATATTCTGTTGTAACTCCTGTTAGGATGAAGCAATCTGAACCAAAAAACGCGCCTTACCAAACATACCTTGACGTATGTGTAATCGATTGCATTACATGCGATGCTGGAAGTGATCTCTGTTTCCTGACAGGCACATGAAGGGGTGCGGGGGTATGCACCTGAAAGTTGCAAACAGAAGTTAAACATAGCATGGCTCCAACGCAGGGGCATTCTGGCTTGTTTGAAGCTCCATATACTGAGGAGCACATTGGACATTGTTTTGTTTAGATTGCTTCGTCCTAGCGGGAGTTATTACAGAATATTCAGGGCCTCTTTCAAATGAGTCTCCCTGTATAAAAAGTGTTTTATATTTTAAATTTCTCCATAATTAGCCCTTGAAACGATTATGCTACGATAAAGCTAATTAATCTTTAACTCCCCTATGAGGTTTCCAATGTCAGCAGTGGTGTTATGTTTCCCACACTGGGTTTAGTGATGCTTATGGTAGGTCCTAATTAAACGCTTACTTTGTTTATTGCATCTTTAAAGTAACTGTTATAGAAAAAATAATTAACTTAAAACATGTTTCTGAATATTATTGGAGGACCCTGTTTGCTGGCTTGCTTAAACTATACTTTAGATAACTTCAGCTAAATCTCAAATGGCTCCTACTCCCTATGTAGTGAACTGTGTAATTATTATACAGAGCTCTATTGTAGCCTTAAGCATATCCCCCTGATTCTCCCATTCAGATGCTCCTCAAACATGTTCCAACGCTTGACGACAAGCTTAATAATAAAATATTTTTGAAACTTAAAAAAATATCCATATATCACTGCTTGCTTCCATACTTTTGGACTGCCGTGCAGATGTTAGAGCTTGACTCTGTCTACTCACCTCATGTAAACTCACTTCTTCCCACCCCTTTAGTGCCTGAATAGTAACATCACCTTTTTCAGATGAACTCAGATACTCAGTTAGTCTTCCTATTGTCATCAAGCATAACCACCTCATTCTGATATTAATATAAGGAAATATTTAGATGTAGACAAGCACAGCATTCCTATTGTAGACTGGATTGGGATTGTAATATGCTGTATTGTTATCAAAGGCCAGTGAATTCCTCCATTCTAGCAGAGAATCACCTCATACACTCTGCCCACAGATAAACTCCCAGTCATAACAACAGTAGTGAGTCCAGATGGAGATCCACACAGACACCTTGTAAAATCAGAAACTACTCTAGTGAAGCTGCAAAATGTCCTAAATGTTCTTTGTTTTTTAAAGCTTGTTAGCATTTTCAGTTGTAGAACTAGTTGACAATTTGTTGGTGTTTGGCTTTTGAGGCGTTATCAATGTGTCAATCAAATTCAGTATCCTTATGTTGTAATTAGTGCACGCATCCAGTAATGATGTCACAGTCACTTCATTAAATAACATGATTACAATTGACATTCACTGTGAATCGCCTTGACAATTACTTTGCAGTTCAAATAATACCATAATAAACACTGTATTCACAGGTCATTACAATGCCAATTAATAGATTAGCGCACAGGTTGCTTTTGTGTGCATCACTAAAAGAGAGGAAACCCACACTAGCAGGATCTCACGAATTGCAGCATGCTTGTAGTTACAGCTTTCATGTATATGAAAATTAGTCATTTTAAATGTTTGCTGTAATAAATTGTATATATGATCACTCGATTAATCATCAAAATAATTGTGTGATTACTCTATTACTAATATAATCAATAATGATAGCCCTGGGTTCTTTCTAAACAGACAGCAGTCTCTGTAGCAGTTCATCCTTCCCTGCTAATTTTCCCGTAACGGTGATAAACTCCAGCAAATGACAAACGGTTGCGTCGGAATGGGCCAGCCTCACCCTTCAGCCTGCTTCACTGTGTAATTATGTGTGACATGCCCTTCCTTCACCACTACTCAAAACAAGCAAGGCATTCCTGACACATTGATTTCATCACAGACGCCTCTAGATAAATAACCATGTAGAAAAACTCAAATGACAGCAATAATAATGGAACTCACAAGGATTAAACATGAGTTTTCGACTTTCTTATCCAGTTCCTAGAGAGTGTCTGAAGTTCAGAGGTGGACTGGGGCCCTCAAGAGTCCCTAAATTTAGTATGATGAAGAAAAATGCCAGAACCTGAACATCTAACAGTATCCATTAGAATTTTCTTGCTTTCTTGTCATTTTTATACTTTTATTCACAATTAAATTTGTATTTTCTTTTGTTTAGTTAAAATTAGTTGTCCACTGTGCCCAAAAATACTGAATTAAACCATATAGTTTAATCAAATTTGTGTTTAGGAAAGCTCACAGAATGTACACACCAAAGGCACTGGTCTTTAGCGTGGTCAGCTTGATTGTTCCTGCTCCTCTTAAATGCTTGGCTTAACTGCCAGGATACAGTAACCAGGCCAGCTCAGATATAATCACACAGTACAGGTCAGCACTAGCCTGGCCTCCATCATGCGTTCTGTCTCCCTCTCTTGTACTGCCCCACTGTCTACTCCCTGTCTCTCTCTCATTGCTTCTTGCTGCCTATCTCTTTCCACACTCCTGCATCTCCATGAGACTTATCTCCGCTCACGCTGTCTCCCTGATCTCGGCTCTCTGTCTTTATTAATCCCGTCTCTGTCCTCCTGTCCCTGTCTATAGCTCCAGGCCTGCATGTGTCATCTCTGCTGTCTCACTGATTTTATCACAATGAGCCAACAAAGCAACACTGTTTGGATTTGTCTTCTCCTTAACCAGGTCACCTTTCTCTGATAATATCACTGTCTCAAAACAGAGGACCTGGCCAAGGCAGCAAAGCTTTCTACAACAGTGTAGAGAATGCATGGACACTGGGGACGAAAGATAAACAGCAAGGGCCCACGCTTCAGTTTCTCACTGTCTTCAGTTACACATTACTTTAATAGTTATTGAGTAATTCATAGTAATTACTAGTGTTAGTACACAAACACTGTACTTGAGTGATGCATAGATACCTTCTGTAAAGATATAACTCGATTAAGTCTTGTACTTATATTTCTGTTTATTAGTGCTTGAATTTCTGTACGAATTTCTGTGTGTTTCTATGAATGTGACAGGCCAAACAAATTAGCAAATTTAACCCCTTATGTAAATATGTGAATATGGTAATAACCCCAGTCTAAGGCTTATTATTCCATGACTACATTGTCTACAAGGCAAACTGGCTGCCTTAAGGTTCAGTTTTACTTCTGCATCTGTGAACATGTGCACAGATGTTTGCATAAGTGTCTAAAACCAAACCTGCACATAACGTGACCATGTACACTGGTGTGCAGGGTCTAAACCAGAATGAATAGAAAATGAGGAGAAAAGTCTTGCATATTTTCTGTTTTTGTAATATTTTGAAGATGGATCATATAAGTGTTTGTAGCATCGCTCATCTTCTGCTAGCCATTCTGCTCTGTTTGAATTTGTGCCATTAGTTCTGATCAGGTTGGGTATTGTTTGGGTCTTGTCATGGTTAGTGCTATAGTGGTTTCAATCAGGTTCTAATGACATATAGTTGAGATTTTGGAGGTGTGCACAGTGTGGCCTCAGCAAGCCTCTGTGAGCTTCGCTTACCCATGAACTCCTTCTTTGCATTTGTTTCATATTCTTTCTTGTCCTTTAGAAAATGCTGGTTTTTCCCACACATGAGTAACAAATATTAACACATGCTGCAAGATGTATTGAAGCCAAAAGAAGGACTTTTTACTATGCAGTGGACTGGATGTGAGGACTCCAAAAGTGCAAGTACTTATGATGGACAGATACCTTAAAAAGATGGTTCTTCAAGCGTTCTGTAAAGCAAATGGTTCTGTGTCAAACCATGAAAGTTCTTTGCATGGTGAAATGGTTCTTTAGACTGATGGAGAATGTGTTGTAGATGGTATAGAACCTTTTTCAAAAAGGGTTCTATATAACACCCAAAAGTGTTCTTCTATTGTTACGATGTCAAGCTTGTTACAACAGAAGAACCCTTTTGGATGCTATGTAGAATCCTTTTTGAAAAGGTTCCATATAGCACCTTCTACAACACATTCTCCATTGGTCTGAAGAACCCTTTGGTCTGAAGACGCAAAGAGCCCTTTAATCATGCAATGGGTTCTTTGCATGTTCATGGTTCTATAAAGAACCATTTTCTTTACTAAATAACCCTTGAAGAGCCATCTTTTTTAAAAGTTATCTGCTTTGTTATTCTCCACCACTTGTAAATACTGAATAATAAGTCTTGAGATTAAGAAATGAAGATTAACTCATAAACTGCAGTTTAAATCCAGTTTTTTAGATCACCTTCATTTCCTATAAAAGCTTTAGTGCTAACAAGGACTGTTCCACTTGTAAAAGACACAGAAGCAGCACTGCAAAGGTTCTCTTGCATATAAATGTGAAGCACATCCCAAAGTGCTTTATCATATGACTTATCATACTAAAAAGGTCTCTTTTGTAATGTTACAATAAAATAGCTCTGCAACTCAGACAGCATTCAAATAAGAGACACCTTTTGCTGCATATGACACCACCTTCCAAAATAATAGCTAGTCATA